ATAATTTGATTTGATAGAATATGATAGACAGCACTACGCAGATTAATTCCTAAAAAGATTAAATCTCTGCCCCACCCCCACTCAACTCCATATAGAATGAAATAACCTTGGTGAAACATCCGGTCCATCCATGGATTTGAACCGAACCATATAGTGGAAGGCAGGTATCCCAATCTACACCTTCTTACAGTAGTCTATGTTTTTGTTATTATATTTCGATTCGCAGCCTCTTGCCGACTTTAATTATCTTTAGAAACTCCATATGATCTGGTTTTAACATCAACATGTTTGACATTTGTAACATTGAAAGTATTTACTGATATATGCTGAAATTATTCCATTTAACCTACGCGAATAATAGTGTGTTAATATTTCATTTAAGGTACAAGCAACTTAATGAAACGTATTCCCCTAATGTATATAAGCCTACCAAATGTAAGTCCTAATTATGTTAGGTCTATAATTTAAATTTATATTTAACATTTTTCTTTGTATTAATAGGCCCTTTTCCTATTATTTAGTGTATATTGTAAAAAATTGTTGATGTATTAGTAATTAATTTTAGTTTAAATGAAAACTAGTAGTAGTCCGTTTATTTACATCCTGACCAGCCTAAGCGACAATGCCGGGTTCAGAGTAATGGGCAGTGGCGACTCTAGGATATATTTTCGGGGGGGCTGAGCTGTCCGACAGAGGGATTTGAGCTCGTAGGCCCGAGACAGGGTAAATGATTTGAGAGGGTGTTCCCTCCCCAAATGACATTTTTTTTAAGAATAGGAACCTCTGAATAGCGTGAAATGACAATCACAGACTGTGACAGACATGTGTTGGCTTGGCGTGAGCCTATTTTTATACATTTTTTAGTCCGACAAGCTCTGTCCGAAGGGGGTCTTGACATGTCCGGTGGGGGCTTAAGCCCCTGCTGCCCACTCCCTCTGTCGCCGCCACTGGTAATGGGGTTTCTCTAGTGGTACTGTAGCTTTATGATGTAGATCTTTAATCAAAAAGAACTTTCTAATAATGAACCTTTGAAATCTAGTGGTTTTCGACAATTTTGGTCGAACGAGCCGTCACTCAGACGAAAAGGGTGATTTAATAACCCCGCCTACCTTCCCAAACCCTTCCATAACTCTATTCTTTACCCTCACTGGACACGATGTACACCATTTCTTTAATTTGGAAACATGTTTGTTTTTTCTAGGCCTAAATGTTAATACACTCACTGATGAATGTAGATGAATATGAGATTTATAATTAAAAAAAAGAAGAATTCTGTACTTTTATATACTACAGGCCTTTGTATGTATATGCATTAACACTATAAAATAGGCCGATGTCTGTCCCCTTCCAATATTAGCAAAAGAAACACGAAACGGCTACTGTTCAGCGTCTCACTGTAGCATGTTACATGGAAAACGATCATTTTCAATTAGATATCAAACGAGTAATGTATTGGTACTTGGGTACAGTTCATGATTAAAACCGGTGTTTTTGTGGTCGTGAGGCCTAAAATGTCGTTATACCTTTATGGTTATCTGTTGTCTATTTCTAACCATACATTTCTAATCATACATTCATGGTCTAAAACGAACGTGAGATATTCAATACCATCGTCACCTCACAACAACCAAAGGTCATCTTTGAAGCGCTCCAGAATCATCGACAGGGTTAACAAATAACATGCCAAAAGTGGTATGCAGTAAAGATAATAACAGAAATTCAGTAAAATTGTTACATAAAATATACTTTATTTAGGCCTATATTAAATGCCAAAGGTTTTATAGATCGATTAAATAATAAAGAATCTGCAGGGAAACATTTATGGTCTCAAATATATACAGATAAAAAAGTGTAACAAAACAAAAGAAAATATTCTAAAATAAATAAAGATGAGGCTGTAAACATTGCAAATTGACAGATACTATGGGAACGAAGGTCTTGTCCAATAAATGTTTGGAATCCGCAAACTCATATCCAAAAAAGCAAAAACACTTAATTTATGCTATACAACACAAATTTAAATGACTAAATTGCAGTTGATAATGATCTGTTAATGTGAAAACCCCAGTAAAACAGAAAAAGTCTAGTTAAACTCATGTAAGCATACTGTATATGATTACTTTATATTGTTGTATGTTCTTACTTTTACTCTTGAAACGTACGCCTCTAAATATAGACATTAGGCATATTACAGTTAATACAACTATTTTTTTTATAAGTACATTTTTTTCCAGGCCCACTGTTCTTATTTTCTTGACAATTTCAGGTTGAAATGCTTTTATTTTTTTCTTATTTTTCACACTTTTCAAAGAAACAAACTATTGTACAGCAGTATATTACTGTACTGTATTATACAGGTCACATCCGCACGTAAGATGCGATTTGTTGGTTTGTCTTTTCTTTTAAATAAAAACCTCATTACATTTTACAATAGATTCAAGTTTTTTTTTTATTTTGTTCTGATTTTTTAAGCAATTTCATCCTCAGTGGTCTTATAAAATGTGTTATAAAAAAGTGTAAGCCATAACTGTACCAACTGTAGTTTATAACAGATATTATTCATTCTCCTCCTTTTGTAATTCCTCATCCCATCCTTCACAGATGTGATTTATCGTTGTAGATAACCCACTTTTACGGCCTATGTTAGCCTATGGGTTGTGTTTTATCAATAAATCAATCAATCGAGCAAATTTCAACAAAGTATAATACATACTCCAAGTATTGAAATACACGCCATTGTGTTGGGATCCAATATTTCGACATTAATTATGTCATCATCAGAATTTCATTCTTTCAATCCGCTGCAATCAATTCAATGTAATCCGCTGTCTACAATTCAATGTAATACAAACATTTTCTTACATTACCTACCTTTACTGCTAATCTATCTAAAGATTTTTGTGAGATTTTTGGGTAAATACTTTAGTATTTAAATCCATGTAAAAGTAAACTTTTTACTGTTTTTGTTTCATTTAAGGATTACTTTTTTCAGATGAACAAATTAATGTTTTAATGGTATATTCAAGGGATTTTCAGTTTTTTTTAAAACACATATAGGCTACTCTATAGTAGGCCTACATTATAATATACACAATGGTTCTAAAACCAATGTTGCACATTTTATCCCACGGAATGTGTTCGGATCTGAAATGTGGTTGATTTGATGTCATTAGTTTGGAACTTGGTTGGGACACATTTTCATTGAAAGTTGGAATGGGATATAATTGTAATTATGAATATATCTTGTAAATATCATTGCTCACTCTCATGTGAAATTCGATCTTCAAAACTAGAATGTGTGTTTGGAATGGGGACGTAGCACGCCATGTTGGCAATCCACACTATAGTACTTCGTTTGCTACGCCAGGACACCCCAAATTAGACTTATTTTCTTGGCCAATATTATGTCGAAATGAATGAAATAACTATAGCAATATAAACAAATGGATAAAAAAAAGGCATAATCAGCATATACAATGCACTGCTCTTTTAGTTGCAAATGTTTCATGAATGGATAGAATAAGATACTGTAGGCTAGGAATGAGCAAAGGGATGTAGGGGCAGGCCAGGTAGGCCTCAACCTAGTAGGGTAATGTTTATACACATTATTTTTCACCTCTCTACCCGATCTTAACAGAACATTTGAGATTCAGGTGTATTGTCTTACAGAACATTTATCTCGTGAGATTCAGGTGTATTTGTCTTATTTATGTAGACATAATGCCTACGTTTGGTCACTTCTTCAAACGGAAGCAAAAGCAATCCATATGATTTGGCCTTTGGTTACTTTACGTGAGTACACGCGGGACCACGGCCTGTGTTTACAGTTTGTATCGTGCAGCTTGAGGTAATCAGGGGCTTATGGTTTAATTTGCCCTTTTGTATTGTTATGGAGCTTTAAGTTGCATGCATTATTTGTGATGTGATTTTGCTGTAGAATGTGATAACAATCGGAAGATTACTACCATGTTGTGATGAAAAACAACACAAAAAGAGTTTGGAAATTCTGTCCAGGAGACCATTTTTGAATTCCACAAATCGATCGAGACGCTGATTCCTTCACAAATGCTAAATCATATGAGACTTCCATGGTAGGATTAAAGCCTGTGGGTGGAATTATACGTTCAGGCTTGTGTATTAATTCAGTGACTTACTAAAGTAGATGATAGTAACTTTGGTATGAGATACGCCTCCACTTGTGATAAATAAACATAATAAATTCTCCCGATGGGGGACAATAGGTTTTTTTAAAATGTGTTATCATCTTTACTAAAGTTGGACTCTTCCTCAGTTTATAGACTGATCATTCGCTGCATTTTTCTTAACTCGAACTTTATGCAATGTGTAAAATTTGATAAGGTAGGTTTGGAAATACGTATACATCTAAAGCCAATACTGGTGAACATTGTAACTACTTAAAATATATTAATATATCAGTGAAACCCAAACTGATACATACCTGTGAGCAATTGAATTCTTTAAATTATATTTTTAAGATTTTCCAGATAAGTCACTACAGATGGTAGCCTATGTTATCTTCAATTTCTTTAATTCATTTTGTTCTGTTTCATAAACTGCAGTACCCGTGACCACAAACTTGAAGCTGAATAAACCGACAACTGAAAAAAAAGAAAAAGAAGTAAACAAATTCCTGCGACAATGTCTGATTTGCTATTTAAAACAAAAACCACAAACACCTAAGGACTTGGTAGAGTAAACATAACCATATCATGGCGAAAACAATTCTCCTGTATGTGTGTTTGTTTCAGGTTACGATGTCATATGACGTATCTGTGACGCCACATCACCTTATGAAAAGATAAATGTAATCCCCGTCATGGGATTTTCGTTGATTTTTGATATTTGTTTGCATAATTTGTCTTCATGTTTACGGAAGTTTACAGAAACTGGATCTAATCAAAGTCCATGTATTCAGCATTCTCAAAAATTTCCCTTTGTTCATTTTTTTAAGATTAATTATTTTGTATTGTTTTTAATAGGGTATGAGAAACCACCGGCCAAGAAGTCTGTCGATGTTACTGGAAGTTCTAAAAGAAATAGAACAGCATTTACAAGCGCCCAGCTGGTCGAGTTAGAAAAAGAATTTCATTTTAACCGCTATCTATGTCGACCCCGAAGAATTGAAATGGCAAATGCACTAAGCCTAACGGAGAGGCAGATCAAAATTTGGTTTCAAAATCGAAGAATGAAATACAAACGTGATATGAAGGAAAGCGAACGAGCAGAACGTGGAATGAAAGTATCAGATTCGGTCCTAGCCAGGCAATCGGAAAGATCTAGCTTGATAGCGGCGAACTCACTCATGTTCAGCCCGATCGGCGGAGTGGAAAGAACATTTCATGCTAATACTAACAGCGTGCCAACTTCTTGCGGAAGAGGCAACGGTGTTTTACCATCAATAGGGCCAAGTTTTGATCGTTTCAATTCTCACATTTCTGCACATTCAAACATGACCTCAGGACCACGATTAACTCACCTTTGAAGAAGTAAGAATTTGTTATGAAATGTCAATACATTAGTTTGAGAGCAAAATACTTGAATAGTTTGAATGTCTGAATCACTGACGACGGAAAGTTTTACCATTCTCAAAGTGTGAAGCCGGAAATCTTTATAAAAAGGGATGATTTTCCCCTTGAACTGTATCATAAAAAGAAATTCCGTATATGATATGACGCGTTTGCAAAAGGTAAAATAAACAGACGAACGACTGAAAATGAATTACCAACAACAAAATCCTGGTTACACTATAGTGATTTTGGAAATCGAGACAGTGGACGAAAATGTTATTTCTGAGGAGATGAAAAAATGTCATTGAATTAAGTAGAATAAGTGGGTCTCAAATAATATGTGTCAAATTGAGATACCGAAATGATAATATTTATGCAATATTGTTACCTCTAGCATAATGTCATTATCTTTTCAAGAAAATTGACTAATTTCAAACGTTACAAAAGTATATAATACTGTAGATTTATCAAATTACAGTAAATGTTCTTTTTCATATAATTCCATATTTTAGAAGTATTACTCCAAACAACATCTAAATATATTTCATAATAATTATAGCGCACTCTTACGGTATTTCAAATGAGTGAAGGATGTTGCATGTGTACGTATGTTCGTCTATATGGATCTATGTGACCAGGGGTAACGCTAAAATGTTATGAAACACTGTTTTCGGAATAATAAAAACACTATAGGATTATAAATTATTATTCTGTATTCTGAAACGTTTTATTCAGAAATATGAATATCATGATCAATAAAGCTCACAAAGTCACATGACAAACCAACGGCAAGCACTGTATTAAGTGTACATGTGCTAATTGTTCAATGCATGTAAAATACTGTACGTCTGCAACAATTTTAACAACAAAGTAACTTGTTTTCCAAGTATGACACCGAATTATATTATTAGGCAATTTTTTTTTTATTCTGTAAATTATTCATTATGATGGTGCTATTGCACCAACAGTGGTAAATATTCCCTTTGCTTTTCTTTTATCTCCAAGTGTTTGTCGTGACCTGCTGTCCGTTTTGCCTGTGAAAAATGAGATGTTCCTCTATATCTTTCCCTATCAATGGTTGCGATACTGCGTGCAAAATTGGTGTTGACGCGTTCACTTTATACTGTCGTTTGTCGGAATTGCGACAGCACGTTAGGGGTAGATGATGATACAATGAGTAAAATCAATGTATTATCATTGTAAACATTACCCAGTATAAAGTTATCATTGCCTACGGTACTTTGCGACTACTATTATGCATATGTCTTCCAATAAGCCTATTAAAGACAAGCTACCATGCTATCTGCATTATTAATGTAAGGATTTTTGACAATAAAAAATTCAATTTCTGGTAATCCATTTTGGACTTTTCGAAGTAAAATATGTAAATCGGTGAAATAATGGAATTCTGCAATTTGTGTCTCACTGGAAGTTATTTAATTCTTTTAAGCTCAGACTATTAAAATGTATTTGGCGAAACATGTGTCATGCCTAAGTATGATCATGATGACATTACATCCTGACCATATATAGGCATATCATGTCTATATATGGGCATACAACAGGGTTTTTTTTGTCAAAGAAAATTTGCTAATCTGGACAGAGCTTTAAGTGGGCAATCCAATGTCAGGGCGGATCCAGAGATGTCTGAAAGGCGGGGCCGAAAGGAGAGGGGCGAAAGTAGGGCCGTTCGAGATAACACCACTCTAGGGGTCCGGGGGCATGCCCCACCCCCAAATTTTTGTTTTCTAGACGCCCGAAAATAATCTCTGAGGCGTTTTGGGGGATCAATTTTTTTCTTTTTCTATCATTCCCACCACCCCCCACCCCCTCACAAATCCGCCAATGAATATTTTAGTTGGACTGCTACGGGTTTTTCGATTTTAGCACATAGGCCTAATTTACTTATCTGTAGCCTAATTTTTAAATTTTGAATTCTTACAAGTTGATTTATTTGAAAAAACAATTTGCAATTTTAGATATAAAAAGAAAAATAATCGTGAGTTGTAAATCGTCATTTTTGTATCGAAATATTGAGTTTCGTTGGTTGGATATTTAAAATATTGTACCGGTATGCAATTTCAAAATTACTTGTTTCACCTCGTTAAAGGGAATTCTATTATTCTCAGTACAAAGCTTGTATTATACAGTATGTCAACTGATATCAACAGGGAAAATATGTAAGAAGCTAAACCCAGTTTGTGGACATCACTACATAGTCATATATCCTTCATAAATATGGACTTATTGTAGGTTAAATACATGTTGTTCGGCATACAGAGGCATATTTTAAAGCCGTCAGTGTCATCTTTATCAATTCAAACACAACTGTAAAATGACAACCCACTTTTTTATTAATAAGAAAAGTTACCCATAATACAATATTCAATATAATATTTGTGATCAAATAACTGTGTTCATATTTTCTTAACAATTTATCAATTTATATGGAATTGGCAATTCATTTTTTAAAGTATTCATGTAAAATTGAGCCTTAATTTTACGTTGATAAGTTATTGTTTAAAATTTAGTATAAAAATCAAAATCCTGCAACAGCAGTTGTTTTGGTTGTCTCACGACTATAAATACACGTGAACTTGGACCAACGAACAGACATGTTTGATTAATTACGGATGTAATTTTTGAAATCTAGACTCGCTGAAGAAGATAACATTCATTTAGGCTTATATAATATGAGTGCCTCTATCATGGGACAGACAACTGGAGGTCCTCTGCTAGGTTTTGTGTGTGTAAAAAACGAGCTGATTTGTTGGCAGGACGTGGTCCGATACGGCACGAGATAGGCGTATCCTATGTTAGATCCGGTGCAGGCGATCTTGCCAAAGGGTGTATCTCAAAGCGGTGTAATGGTAGACAATTACCTGAACCGGTGACGTCACCATTCAAAAAATGGAAGTTGATGACTTGGTGGATAGACCATGAGTTTTACACTCGTTTGCTGTAGTTTACCCAATTATTGTTGTTCTTAGCTCAAAAGTACCTTTTTAACCGTTTGAAATTGATAGTAGATTACCGTATTTAGTTATAGGGCCTAGCTATTATTTTTTATGGATGCAGACTGTATTGAACATATTCTACACGTAGGCCTATATGTATATATTGTATTGACATGAAACAAGTAAAACAAAAATTAAAAATGAAAACTCTATACATTGGCGTTGCTGTCTTCTGATACTGTACGTTTACATTCAAAATAACTCTTTAGAATACAATGTTTCTTTTAAAATTCGTTTTAAAACCTACTTAATATTTACTTAAATTTTTTTAATTAATTAAAAATATTGATGCCATACGTTATTTTATCGTATCATTTTGGTATTTTTTACAGTCCATCTAAAGAAGTAAATAAAATATCAATAAAAAATATACGTGTCTTATGTATATTCTTTTGTACTGAGTACTTCATGTCAGTTGGCCGAAAACGTCGTTTGTTGCGTTAATCTTCATCAGCATTTAACAAAAACAACAACAATAATAAATTGAAATGTAATTTTAATTACTATTATACGAGCACAGGCACTGGATCTGCTTTTGGTGTAATATGGGTCAGGTTAGGGTAAAAAAATATGATATGCCCTGAGGTCTCCACACTTGGATCCATATTTGATTGAACATGGCTCCAATACGGTCGAGGGTTTTAATTTTCTGCATTTCAAAACACTAACTTATTGGTGTCAATCGAGTTCAACAAGCCGAATTCGAATATAATAATAATAATAATAATAATAATAATAATAATAATAATAATAATAATAATAATAATAATAATAAATAATAATAATATTAAATAATAATATGAATAATATTTCAATTTTCTTAATATTAATAATGATAATACTACTACTACTACTACTACTACTACTACTACTACTATTACTACTACTACTACTACTACTAATAATAATAATAATAATAATAATAATAATAAGAACAATAAAAGAGTATTAAAGTAGGTAAATGCTACTGTACCTTTTTAAAATAAAAATTCAGAACGAAATTTCAAAATATAATACAGTATTGCATAATAAAATTAATATTAAAACTGAAAATACTAATAACATTAATAGACCTAATCGTGATAATAACAAATAATTATTGGTAATAATATTGATTATAATAATAATGATTACAGGTCTATTAATACTGTTATTAGCTTTGTTAATGTAACGAATATAATTTCGACAAATACATTTCTAGGCATTTTCTTAGTATAATATTATTAATATTAATTTCAATATAATTAACAACATCAATAACACACTGAAAATACTAAAATTACTCAAAATAGTTAATAATGGTATCCACGCGAACTTGTATTGTACTGTATGGCAAGCGTTTGTCTGTTGTCTACGGGCTTTATCTCACTCTAAAGTAAAACGTGATGACAAACAAGATATCGATGGCCGAGATGGAGTAGAAAACCCAAGGGCACTAAAATCGGATACACATTATCGCTGATTGGGATGCGTTGCATTAATCATTACAAGAACTTGTAATTCTGATATAGTAAATACGTCAACATTCCTAAACAACTCTCAGCCAAGCTGGCGCATTAATTAGCCGTAACATCATCACATACAGTAGGTGCAAAGAACAATGATGCAACTCATTTGACTGGTCTTCTTCCGCCAGGTTTATATTTTTTCGTTGTTGTACTTCATCAAGATTTTTGAATTACTATATTAAAGCTCATAGGCCTATGTATTGCGAGCTGGCGAAGTGAATTGGATTTGAGATTATACGCCTTATGGAAATTGACAAAACAGGTGTAACCAAGTTAAAATTTCACTATTGGGAAATATGAAATAAAAATTGACAATATATATATATTGGAAAATTTGGGATGTACTGCGACTGTGTGGTATTAAATTTAGATGAGGTTTTAACATTAGTTGATGGTATAATTTAACATAATTAATGTCATGCTAAAGTGATTTGTTCTGGGTTTTATTGTATATTTTCGCAAACAAATGGAAATGCGATTCAGTAATGACGATTTAATCATACTTACCAAAAGCTTTATTTGGTCACAATAATTGACAATAACAATAATTAGTACCGGTACGTGTAACCACCAACGATTTGTTTTTGTCAACCATAGTTGTAGACGGTGACCCTTCCAGCGTATCTTAGAGGTCGGCTGATATTCAGGGGCCCTCTTTAAATAAATGAAATAATGTGATGCTTTTATCAGCCAAGTCTCTTTATGAGGCTTCGGGAGTGGAGTTGTTCGTGAGAAAAAGTCCTTTTGTCACAGGAATTGAACCAAGGACCCTGGGATTAGAAGGCAAGCACCTTAACCAGTAATCTATTCAACTCCACCTTAAAATACTTTAATCAAATCAAAATAAAGAATATAATAACACTAATGACATGACAATAGAAAGAAAAAAACATAATTAATATTTTCAAATCACAAGTAATCTATCAATGATAGGCCTATATTCTAGTCACAAGCCTATCTATATCATATTTTTAAAAAATCAAATCACATAAGGCCTAATGTATACATTTAGAATTAAAATAATGATAGGATTACATTCACACCATATTAATAGTGTGTTCAAATCACATTAATGACATTGACCTATTCAAGTCACATTAATTATAACATCAACGTCGCATTGATTGATAAGCTATTTTTAGGTGACATTCATAATAGACTATTATACAAAAATCAATTGAAATTATATTTATTGCAATTAAAAGACATATTGGATATTAGGAATACTAAAATTTCTCAAAATTACGGTATTTTAAAATATAAAAAAAAATTAACAAGCACTAAAAACACATTGCAAACCATGAAAAAAATATTAAAAGGTACATAAAATATACAAGTTAAGTAATATTGCCTCGTTTTTGTCCCAGTTTTAAAAAAATAACACGGAAGAGATGTTGGCATAATAAAAGATGACCAACTCACTCGCTGACTATCACAGTGAAGTTCATAATGTTAGGGCCTCTGTATGAAATACAGAATAAAATAAAATGTGAAATTGATAGTAGGACTACTAGAATGGTACAATATAAATATCTTAAAGCTTAATGGACATGTAACCATAAAATTAATTTTATAGAAACTAGAAAGAATAATATTTTCAAATCACAAGTAATCTATCAATGATAGGCCTATATTCTAGTCACAAGCCTATCTATATCATATTTTTAAAAAATCAAATCACATAAGGCCTAATGTATACATTTAGAATTAAAATAATGATAGGATTACATTCACACCATATTAATAGTGTGTTCAAATCACATTAATGACATTGACCTATTCAAGTCACATTAATTATAACATCAACGTCGCATTGATTGATTAGCTATTTTCAGGTGACATTCATAATAGACTATTATACAAAATTCAATTGAAATTATATTTATTGAAATTAAAAGACATATTGGATATTAGGAATACTAAAATTTCTCAAAATTACGGTATTTTAAAATATAAAAAAAAATTAACAAGCACTAAAACACATTGCAAACCATGAAAAAAATATTAAAAGGTACATAAAATATACAAGTTAAGTAATATTGCCTCGTTTTTGTCCCAGTTTTAAAAAAATAACACGGAAGAGATGTTGGCATAATAAAAGATGACCAACTCACTCGCTGACTATCACAGTGAAGTTCATAATGTGAAAAGTTTATGCCCTGTTAGGGCCCTCTGTATGAAATATAGAATAAAATAAAATGTGAAATTGATAGTAGGACTACTAGAATGGTACAATATAAATATCTTAAAGCTTAATGGACATGTAACCATAAAATTAATTTTATAGAAACTAGAAAGAACAATAATTATTAAGAGATTACTGTATAACCTGTCTCTTATACACATCTAGATGTGTATAAGAGACAGCGTCAATATATATATATATATACATGTACCGTAACGCTATAAAGGCCTAATATACAAGAATGGACAAGAAAAACAAGTTGTTTTAACGGCTGTACGGCAGAATAATTTTAAGATTGGTTGGTTATATTATTTTTAAGATGTTTTATAAATCAATTATTTTAAGTGATTTCGCTTTTTCTAGATAGGTCTATGCAAATTGGGGAGATTATAGCCTTAGATTTTCAGGTATTGTATTGAGAGAAACAGCCATGTGGTTTGGATTTTGATGTGCAACGAATTCTCCTAATTCGGGTCGAAGGAGCTAACTTTCCAAATGTATAAAATGCTTAAAAGATGTGATTGGTATACTGTACTAAGTTAATTACTGTATATAACGTACTGTAGGTCTACTGTATATGTACTGCCTACTACGCAGATGTAGAAACATCCTGATAATCGTATTCTAGCACATTTTTGAAAATTGGTATCATCCAAACTATTTTCATAAATTAATACAGTAAACACACACAGAAATAAATGTTAAATGTCCGTACAGTAATAAGCTTGTTAGTTCGATATTAATATATATTGTATCTTCCGTAATTAATTGTATTATTTATGACAAATGCAATCTTTAAATAAAACTTATTCTTAACTAATTTGTTAGTATGTTACTATGGCTACGTATCCATTAATAATCCAGCCAACTGCAGGGCAACCTTTTTTCCAATCAAATTATCTATAGATTTAAATGAAGATTAAGGGATTTGAGAACTGATTTAAACGGTATCCATCTCAGTTAGGCTGATTTGTATTTCCACGAGCCTGGTTAACGTTTAAGCCCCAAACATGAAAGACAATATTATACAAATATTCATAGATCTAACTTTTAAAAAAAGAACATATTTTTGTTTTAGTCCGTTTCTGAAATGTTTCTTTTATAAACGATATATCAGAGTAATAACGGTGGATACATATGATTTCGTCATTAAACTTTTACCCAAGGGTGTCTTTGTAGTCATCTGTAACGGATCTTTATTAATGCTTACAATGTTAATAATAATATTGGTTAAATTGTAGAACGCATGTATGTAGTTATCATTATGCAATATCATACATCAATGAATCTGTGAGTGACAACTGTGAATTAAATAACACTCAGGATTACGATTGTGGTGATGGTATAATGCTTGTTCACGAGAAACATTATGAGCATAATATCATAACAATGATATTAATGATAATAATAAGAAAAACGATAGGCCTAATAGTATAAATAATATTACAATGATAATAAGGCAACAATATTATTGATAGGCCTAATAACAATAGTTTTGTTTTTAAAGTAAAAATTAGAATAATAATATTGATACACTGTAATAGGCCTAATTATAACCTCCAGCAGAGGGCGTATCTCCTATCAAAAGTTATCGAAACGCACTACTAC